ATAGTTACATATATAAAATATAAAAATCACATCAAACGATTATATTTATATTATATTTTAATAACCAAACTGAAATAATTATCAAAAAAGTATATATATTGAACTATATGTATCAATTATTTTCCTTTAAAATATCACATCTAACTCTAAGAATTTATTTAGTGTTTTAAAGTTTCAATTGTGCTGCTTCATCAGGGATGCAATATGGCTCCTCCTTAAATAACTCGTTAGGTTGTGCTGTTAAAATTCATTAACTAGAAGATTAGGAATAATGATGAAGTAGAAAAAAACTGTTTTTGAGATTTTAAAGATGAGAAAAATGTTTATAAATCATACATATAAAAAATTAAGTAAAAAAATCTTATAACTATATTATTTTAATAAATATTCATTTTAAAAAATTAAAATTTTTAATTTTTAAAGTAAAATAAAATTAGTTTAATTTTTAATAATATTTTATTAAAATAATATTATTTTAAGTTTTTTTACTTTACTGTTTTATAAATTTAGTTGATAAACATTAATTTCTTTAAAAATTATTCTATTCTAATTGGAATATTTTTATAGTTAAAGGAAATTTAAACTCATAACACTTAAAAAAAAAAAAAAAATTGAGCAACCCTTAATTTACTGGAATCTAACTATCATAAAAGTAATATTAAAGTGTTGCTGAGAAAAGTTGCCACAAAATATCTAGGTTTTAGAAATATCAAACAAAACACTATATTATATACTAATACTTCCACATCCCCGTATGGCCGTATGTTTTTATTGTCATTCAACTTTGATGGAATTAACGGTTAATTTGAGATATTTAAATTTAATTGTTTATTTTTAAAAAATATTATTTAATATTTTTATTTTATTTTAAAAACAATTAAAATATAAATTAATAAAAAAAATTAATTAAAAGTAATTAATTTAAATAAATATAAAATTTTATTAATTAATTATTATATTTTTATTTTATTTTAAAAAAACGAAACTTACTGATAAAATTCAACAAGTATAAAAAAAATATAACTAAATACTTCTACTCCTAATTTTTACATCTTTTTACACAAATAAACACAATTTTATATGCCAAACAGCATTAATAACGTAACAGAAACTAGATCATTAGTACGATGAACTCGTCCCATTTATTTGTCCCCTCTGTCATTTCCCTTCTTAATTTCGCAATTACTTTACGTTAATTAGTCAAAAGCAAACTCAAACAAGGAGAGGCCCACTGCAGGAGGACCAAGACTCCCTCTGCATTCTTTGTGGAAAAAAAAAGAAGAAATTACTGATCTTTTGCTGTTCTCCTGTGAGAAATCGTGGAAAGTATGGTCTTTGTGCTATGATTGGTTTTGTGGAAAATATGAAGAAATTATTGATCATTTACCGTTCTCCTGTGAGGAATCCCGAAAAGTATGGTCTTATGTCTTTAAGACGGATGTGGATGGTCACCCTGAGAATTAAGCATTTGTGCTTATCTTTTTCCCACTAAATTATTAATTCGAGTTGTTTAATTTGTGTTTTTAAAATATAAATTAAAAATATATTTA